TAAATATACTAAATATGTTGAATTATATACTTTTACTGGGTAATTTTATGGTATGTGAATTACATATATCCTCAGTAAAGCTGTTATTTGAAAGAAAAAAGGAAGCTACTTTGTGTAGGGTAAAAGGCTCACCCCTAGAAGATGAATTACCATAGTTCTAAGGGCCTTGGAATGTGGGGAAACATCTTTAATGTTTAGACCACTCCATCCTTTTCTTCTTTTAAGTGGTCTGAGATGGAAGCTAAGCACTGAAAAAATAAGATTTGGTCTCTGCCCATAGGGAGCACCCAGCCCAGTGAAAGAGCAACACTTATAAGCAAACAATAGTAATACAATGCAGCAAGAACAATTATGGACAGGGTGTAAAATACTACAGCAACAAAAATAAACCAAGTAGACAAGCCCTAAATATACGGGGGAAAAAACTTTAAAACTGTTAGAAGACAGTATTAGAGACTATCTTTCTTATCTTGGAGCAGCGTAGAATTTTTTAAAGACACAAAAAGTAAAATCTAGGGAAAAAAAGACTTTTAAATTAGGCTTCATTGAAATGAACTTCAGTGCATCGAAAGATGCCATAAAGCAACACTGAGGGACAATGTCTGATGCTTATAACTAGGGGTTTACTAATATATATAGCTCCAGAATATATGTAGCTCCTAAAAATCAATAATTAAAAGACTAACAAACCAAAAGAAAAAGACAAAAGATACACGACAATTCACAGAAGAAGAAACCTAAATGGCCCATAGACACAAGAAAAGATGCTCTATCTCACTAGAAACCAAAGAAAAACATTGAAACAACAAGATAACCATTTCCTATCCATCAGATTATCCAAACTCATAATAGCAAATACTGGTACAAATATGAAGAAAAGAGCAATTTGGCAAAACCTAATAAAGCTGGAAGATGAACATACCCTACGATCCCACAACTTCATTCTAGATAAACAAAATGTGCATAAGCAAACGTACTAGCATATTCACAGCAGCATTGTCTGTTAACAGTGAAAGTCTAAATGTCCAACAGAAAATGAATTAATAAATCTGATGCATTCATAAAAGGAAGACAATTTTATGAAAATTATTCATATTTATCCATATAGCTCTAGTTCTACGTGCATAAATATGGCTAGTTGTCTTTAATATTGAGTGAAAACAAGCAAATTGCGAGAGGATACATATAGTATAATGAAGCATATAAATTCTGGTAAGATGGAAATCAATGCAATAAATTGCTTAAAAATACATATGTAGCAGAAATATAAAAACTGGCATTGGAACATACACCTCAAATCTGGGGAAAGAGGAAGAAAAAGTGAGGAATACACAGAGAGCTTAAATTCAATCTATAGGGCTTTATTTCTTACCAAAATAAAACAAAGGAGAAAAACATAGCAAAATGTTAGGGCTTGAGGGAGATGAGTGGCCAGTAGGTATATGACAATCATTGTATTATTCTTTGTTCTTTTCTGTATCTTTTAAATAGTCCAAAATAAAAAATAAAATTAAATTAAAATCCTATGGGAGCACAGATGAAGGAGCAATATTTGAACTAGACCTTACAGAATGAGTAGTTCAGCAAGGGAGGGGAAGAACATTCCCCATGGAAGAAACAAGAGAAGTCCAAAGGCTTTACGTGTATTGGGCACATAAAATGTATATGAGGATGAGTATGTGGTCAAGAGCAGCTAGAGCTGAGGGGATGGGGATGCAGCCACAATGAAGGATGCGCATGTGCTCTGTGGAGGACCTTCTAAAGCCACAATGAGGAGTCTAGACCTCATTCACAGGCAATAGAGAACCAAAGAAATGTTTAACTAGGGGAACACTGTGATTTTATAATTCTAGTGGTGTTTACGGTGCTTATTAAATGGAAGGGGCAGAGACTGAAGACAGTGAAACTGGCTGGAAACTACATATCTACCTACTTGGGATCTACCCAAGTAGGAAAACTGGGGCTGAAGAACAAAGGAATCATGCAAAAGACACTTAAAGGTGGAATCGACATGGCAACTGACCAGAAGTGGAAAGAAAGGAAGGGTTAAGAATGGCTGTGATGTATGGGTATGGCACTTATATTGGATATGTTGTTATCAAGATTGTATAGGTAGAAGGAAGGAGGTTTCAGGCCAAAAAAAAAAAAAAAAAAAGTTTCCCTTTCAATGTGCTCAGTTGCAAATAAGGCCCCTTAACGCAGGAAACTAAAATTGAAAGAATCTGGATTTTCAAGGTTCAAGGTACACACTACAATAATTTCTATCCAAATCTTGTGTTAGTGAATGGAGTAGGATCAGATGTCTCCTGCCCAAAAAGGTCAGACATGAGGTAGAGAAAAGGTAGAGAGACTAGAGTTCCAGAAAATATCCTTTCTGCCAAACTTTTAATATAAATGTTTAATCTAACTATGTTAAGTAATGCCCCACTTTTGAAAAGGTCAAACTTTCTAGCTGCCTTGCCCTTTCAGTAAAAGAAAGTGACACAGGGGCCAACCTGAGGAGCTCTCCAAAGGCCAAATTTGGGATAATATGAGCAAAAAAAATAAAAGATGACAGTAATGGATTATAACCTACAGAGTAAAATAAGTATCCATGAATCCAAAGTATTATACGTAACTGAATAACTAAATGCAGGGAAAGGGGGACAGCTTTTTCTTACAGTAGAATTCCAATTAATAAATGTAGAAAGAATGAAAGAGAAAAATCACCTCTTGGCAAACACCACATTAATAACTCTTACAGGCAAGATCATCAGGATATTTGCAGAGTCTCAAAATATCACTCCACCAGACACTTAATTATAAAGCAGAAAAACAGCAACTTTACAATGGAGAAACCTAGCAGACACCACCTTAACCAAGTGATCAAGGTTACCATCACCAGCAATGAGACATATCAACAGCATATACTGCCTCATAGGATACACTGAGAAGGAGCATCACTTTTGGTGTATTCGTGCCAAAAATGCATGACCTGAATTTAATTATGAGGAAACATCAGACAAACCCAAAGTGAGGGACATTCTACAAAGTAACTGGCCAGTACTCTTCAAAAGTGTCAAGGTCACAAAAGACAAACTATCCTAAATTGGAGGAGAGTAAAAGGGCATGACAACTAAAGGAATATGTGATCCCAGGTTGAATCTGGGACCAGAAAAGGGACATCAGTAAGATACCTAGTGGAATTTGAATGAAGACTATATAGATTAATAGTATTATATCATTATTAATTTCCTTGTATTGACAATAATATTACAGTTACATAAGATGTTAACATTTGGGGAAGCTGGGTAAAGGGTATACAGGAATTCTTCATATTATTTTTACAACTTAAGATTGAAATTGTTTCAAAATGAAAAAGTTTCATTAAAAAAGAAAAGTGAGTGGAAAATGACATTTGAATAGTGAAGAAAATAGCTGTCACAAACAGCATATATTTAACTATTCGGGAAAGGCACTGTACTACTTCAAGTTCCCCTGACCCAACAGAATGCATGACAATGTGGTCAAGTAGGTGCAACAAAGACACGGTGGCAGAAACATTAAGAAATGACAGCAGTAAGGACAAAGTAATATTATAAATAGGCCAGCAGCTGGAGCTGCACACAGCTCTGCAGCCTCTAAGCTAGCTCAATATTCACTAGGGCCCAGTGACTAAACCAGTACTGTGCAGCGGATCCACCCAAGCACAGACAAGCTGGAGGTTTTGGACAAGTTACTCTACCCCCTGGGTCTCGTCTGTGAAATGAAGAGGACTCCACGCATCTGCTAGGATTGTTGTAAGAATAAAATAAGCAAAAGCACATAGAACTGTACTGTTCGTGTCACAGGCTTTCAATGAAGGGCTCATACTTATGATCCTAAGCCAGAATAAGAAGAGGTTAAACCATATCCCATAGTTTAAAAAGTAGGAAAATATGTAATTCATCTTAAATAAACTTCTACCCAAAAAGGTTAAAATGAAAGCTACAGTGCCTGAAGGGGCAAACTTCAATTAGCTAGGAAAACCACTAATGTGAAATACCACATTCCCACAAAGCATCAGATAAGTGAGGCATAGCTTTCCATCCTTAAAGCCACGTGGATTGGGGCTTCCCTGGTGGCGCAGTGGTTGAGCGTCTGCCTGCCAATGCAGGGGACACGGGTTCGAGCCCTGGTCCGGGAAGATCCCACATGCCGTGGAGCAACTAAGCCCGTGCGCCACAACTACTGAGCCTGTGCTCTAGATCCCGTGAGTCAAAACTACTGAGCCCACGTGCCGCAACTACTGAAGGCCATGCGCCTAGAGCCCGTGCTCTGCAACGAGAGAAGCCACTGCAATGAGAAGCCCGCACACTGCAACGAAGAGTAGCCCTCGCTCACCACAACTAGAAAAAGCCCACGCGCAGCAGCGAAGACCCAACACAGCCAAAAATAAATAAATAAAATAAATAAAATTTAAAAAACCACGTGGATCTTCAACAAAACTAGAGTCAGCTAAACATCTGAAACATAGTTCATTATGAAGGATTACCAATTTTCTTTTGTACTTTACCCAGACAGACTCACTATGGTGCTACAGGTCACTTGATGCTTTTGATCCCCTAATTAGCATCAAGCACTTTTCTAAATCTATCATGGGGAATAAAACAAAAAAAAATTTTTTAATTAAAAATAAATAAATCTATCAAGGCCAACCACAGAAAACATCTCAAGAATATTTATACCTCAGTGGAATTATGGGTGATTTTAATTTTTTCTATTTCCTAAATTTTATGTAAGATAGTAATGCTAAATTATAATGGAAAATGAACAATTTACAAATAAAAGAAAACTTGCTATGATCAAGTTCTTGGCTAAGTCTGTCAAACAGCACAGTTCAAACCTATCCCTCTCAACATATTCACGTTAACTTGGTCTTAAGTGAAGTCAATATACCAGATGGTTAATGCTATGTGCCTGTTTGGTCATTTCCTTATGTATATTAACATGGAGATGGGGACAACAAGAAAAGCACTTACCTCTACAGTATTTGCAATATAACGGTTGTCACCTTCAACTTTGACAGAGAAGTCATAATAGCCACTGGAAAATTTGACATTCACAAAGTTTAGCTCAAAAACATCCCTGTTAAGAATGACAGTGGGGTTAGCAAGAACTCACATAGGAAAGTCACAAATATAACAAATGGCCTACAAAGTGAGGCATTCCTTGAGATGGTCTAGGGCTGCACCACTTCTTCACTTTTCAACTTCCCACCCGCCTGGGCCACCTCCTGCTCAGTTACAGATTATAATGAGGGGCAAACTTCAAAACGATCTAAAATGACCTCCTTTTTCTAGTCTCGAAAGTCTTCTTTTCATTTTTCCCCCTCTCAGCTCCTAAAAATCCCACCTCCTTCGGGTAAGTCTTCCACAACTAAATGCAAAACAGCTAAGTCTACAATAGGATACCAATTACGTTAAAAAAAACAAAAAAAAGTAGAAATGTTCAAAGAGGTTGGTGTAGGGTAGTATAATTGTAGGTAACTTTCTGCATTATTTCTACTTTCCTGTGCTTTGTGAATTTCCTAAAAAGGATACATCTTATTTTTAATTTAATTTTAAAATATTAATTTTTATTTTAAAGGGGAAAAAAAGGTAGAGAATTCTTAACTCTAACTACATGGCAAAACCCTCAATGTCATTTACCATTCTACTGATCATTCGTAAAAATGATTTTGCTTTTCAGCCGCATAGCACAGGGATATCAGCTCAGTGCTTTGTGACCGCCTGGAGGGGTGGGATAGGGAGGGTGGGAGGGAGGGAGACGCAAGAGGGAAGAGATATGGGAACATATGTATATGTATAACTGATTCACTTTGTTATAAAGCAGAAACTAACACACCATTGTAAACCAATTATACCCCAATAAAGATGTTTAAAAAAAATGATTTTGCTTTTTAATTTCACATATTGCCTATGTATCTTTACAACTGTGTAAGAAATGCATTTTCTCTCTAAAACTCAGTTCCCAATCTCATTAACTTACTAATTTAATACTTAACGAAGTTTCATATAAAAACTGACCCTGGGCTTCCCTGGTGGCGCAGTGGTTGGGGGTCCTCCTGCCAATGCAGGGGACACGGGTTCGTGCCCCAGTCTGGGAGGATCCCACGTGCCGCGGAGCGGCTGGGCCCGTGGGCCATGGCCGCTAAGCCTGCGCGTCCGGAGACTGTGCTCCGCAACGGGAGAGACAACAAAAAAGACAGGCCCAAGAAAAACAAAAAAAAAAAAAAAAAAAAAAAATTGACCCTTAATTTTTTAAAAAATTTACATAACAATAACACAGCCACTGAAGATAAGACTATAGAAGAATATTAATCCTATGGGGGAAATGTTCATGACATATTATTATAAATAGAGCATAATCCTAAATTTAGGTAAATTTGGTTTTATGATCTTGGTAATAACCACATAAATCTGGGTTATACTGGCTGCAGGCTAACTTTCCAAAACAAGTATATTGGCACCCTACAGAGATGTGCTCAGTTCTTACCCCACAGGGGTGAACGATGTCTTCTGGAGGACTGTGGCTCTGGAGGCAACGGATTTAGCGTGTTCTAGTTTAACAGTGGCCTGAGTCAGAGGCTGGGACAGAACATTGGTGACCTGCAACTGGAAATAAATTTTAAAATTGTCTGTAGCAACAAAAGCTGAGGGAGTACAGATTTTGCTTCTAGGGTGGGTGCTTCATCCACAGGGAGCAAGCTCTGCCAGGAAAGAACCATCTTGTTTTAGAAAACCATCACTGACCTTTGGTCTACTATCTATAGGAAATCAAATACAGGAAAACACAATTAGTTTGGGAATGGGACAGATTACAGAATGTTAGCGGTGGGGAAGATCTTAAAGATGATCTTACCCAATGATCTCATTTCTCAGATGAGGAAACCAGAGCCCAGGGAAACATAAGGACTGGCTCCAGATCACACAGTTAATGATCCCCTGATCTACCCACCCTACTTCACTACTACAGTATCTTTAAAAAACAAAATTATTAGCAAGAAAAATAGGAAGGTATGGGCAATGGGAAAACTGAAGTAATATGGATAACACAGTAATAACACTCATTTGTTGAAAGTCGACTATTTGCCAGATACCAGGCTAGGCTCTTATATATATCCTCCCACCGATCATCTGAGACATAGCAGAATCTATCTTTATTTTACAGATGAAGAAACTGAGGCCACAAAGAGGTTATAAGACTGCCAAAGGCCACATGGCTAAGGACTCAAACCCCAGCCTACCTAGCTTCAAAAGCCAGTATTTTTTTCTACTTTGCTCTCTTAGCTCCCCCTAACTCATGGTGAACTATGTTAATCAGGTTAGTTCTCACCCCAGTCTTTGCTGAGGGGATGTGACTTGTAGGTAGGGAGAGAAGAGGCAACTTTGGAATACGGGGCACTTCTTCAGGAGAGTATCTGTAGGGTCCTCTGAAGCAGAAGAACTTATGGAACTGTCCTATGTGGAACCCGTGTGTTTAGACATAAATAAAATGCTAATTTTTTATAAAGATTTTAGCTTATTCCTGGTTTCCAAACAATAGCAACAAATGCCTCATTATGACGAATGGAAAACTCTAAACGTGTGCATTTTGCTCTATTCAGAGAGTTAACACACCAAAACAGTCCGTGCTTATTGCTGAGTGAGAGGGATGGCTATGTTCTGAAGAGGCAGAAAGATACACTGTCGGCTCCAAGGAAGAAGAGACCTAATATTGATTTTAACAACTATAAGTACCAGAATTACCTGGGAATTTAAAACGCTGTCTTAAAATAATATATTTAGAAAGTCTGGGTACTGGAAAATACATTTTAGAAGTAAGACTTCTCTATACATCTGGACTTACAAATCCAGAAATGCAATTTTCTAGCACTTAGTTTAGGAAAAGCTACACTATTTAAAATACTCTGACGGTAATTCCCTGGCCGTCCGGAGGTTAGAACTCCACACTTTTGCTTGAAGGATTCTGTGACTAGTTCACCCAGTGGCCATCCCCATTTGCTCTTCATTTAAGGGGTCTGTCCTCACGGGGGTTACAATTAGCTGTGTACCAGTCTTTGGATTTCTGGAAGGCTTACACTGGAAACAGCAATCGGAGCAGCGCATGTGGGGCATGGAAGTCATACCCGTAGGACAGCCTGTTCCTGAGTGTAGGAAGGAGAGCCCTCAGGCACAACCACAACAGGTACATGGAAGCGATTCTGGGAGAGTGCAGCGGCAGCAGAGGCCACACTGAAGGCTTCTGAGAGTGACTCAAAGTTCTTCTTGCTGAAGATGGCATTCATTAGCTGGATGACCTGATCCTGAAAGAAAAGGGAAATGCAGCAGTCAGACAGGTGGCCAGCCACCCCTCCCTCCCCACCTGGCTCAAGTCATTCCTTATCTTTTTCTAGGTGTTCACTTGGAAGGTCTTTTAGCCAGTAACCCAAATTGGTAGGGGTGGGGGAAGCACATAGTCTGCATTTAAGCGTAAAACCTGAATTTGGTTTTTTTTCCATCTTCTAGTACAAACTGAAATTAATGCATTTATTTGTCAACCATTTATGGATGCTTACTATACAAATGCAAGGTACTTCTAGATAACTACTGAGATATGAAACTATATTATAAAACACCTATAGCAGTACCCATTTGTTCCATATCTATATGTGCCAGGCACTGTGACAGGTGCTTTACAAGCATTAACTCAAATCTTGACAAAAATCCTGAAAAGACTGATATCAGTCCTTTCCAAATAAGGAAACTGAGGCTAAAGGAAGTTAAGTTACTCCTACAAGTTACGATGGAAAGAAAAAAAGCAGGACCCAAATTCACATGTAGGTCTGTTTGTCTCCAAAGTCCTTCCACAAGAAAATATGTCCTTTCTTGATTTTCCTCACCCTCCCACCCAAGCTCCCTTCCTTGCCAGCCCACCTCTAAGCAGTATGCTGGGGCTAAGTTGGTGTTTACAAGACCAAACTTCACAGCCAAAGTGAACATTAGAAAGAAACTAAAATAACTCTCCATTAAGAACTAATGGGCTGCTTAGAGGGGAAAACGGAAAGCAATTTTTTAAAAAAGTAGAACCTAAAAGGCATTATTAAAATTCTAGAGGTTGTTTGCTTAAGAGGAAACATTTTCCACTTCAATCAGTTTCGTTTTTTAAAATCTACCGTCTAACAAAAGAGTTCCCTGTTCCCGAAAGTGTTATTCACAGTCGACATGAAATAATTTTCTTTAATTGTACCAATTACATTTTCCATCAGTAAGCTGTTGACATGTTAAAATGGGGGAGTGTTCACCAGAATCGTTATGTCAAAAGCAGTGACAGCAAAATTATCCCAGCCAAATACCTGGTTAGTAGCAGCTTGGGAATAAAGCAAGAAAAAGTTTAAGTTGTTTTATGTAGAATATCGCCAATTCATGTACTGTACTGTGTATAGGAGAATCCCGAAATGATTTGTACTATAAGACCCACATTCTTGCACTTTCACCCGTAACAGAAATTTAAATAGAGTGTGGTATCTCTAGGTCTCCTAAACTTAGGATGAAGGAAAAGACAACATAAAAAGGCCAATACATGAATAAATTATTAGATCATATCCTCCAGAGAAAATACAAAATTAATTCAAATTACTCAAGACAGGTAATTATTTACTGTTTACTTGAAACGCAGCACAGAACTCACAATGCATTCATAATTCACAAAAGAAGTGGAAGTTCTGACTTGGAACCCAAATCTTTCCTCCTAAAATTAAAACAGCAGCAGCTTGTATTTTAAGTCCTTTAGATCAAGGGTTGGTAACCTTACAAACAAGTGGTACAAAGAGGGTCCTACTCACAAGACTTCCCACACACATTCCAACTAAAGGTTCTTTCAGGTTAACAAGCTCCTCTTGAAAGAAAGAAAAGAATTAACTCCTGGTGGATGTCTGGTAGACACACATGCCTCTCAGTGAACTATGTCAATCAGCACAGATTAGCTCAGACTTAGGCACTGCTGAGGGTCAGTGGGGAGAGAGCAGAACAGGCAATTTTGAAGTACAGGGCACTTCTCAAGAGAAAGAGGATTTGCACAGGCCACCAGCATGGAAAGCATTCATGAGACAAGCAGTAAGGAGCATCAGGAAGGAATGGGAGGTGGGTCGAGAGTAATACACTCGGCCTTCTTGTCTCTACCTCATGATGTGTCCGTACGCCATTTAAGCAAGTATAACAATTTCTTTACATGTCTATCCCACTGACAACCAGTTTCTCAGGAACAGGCTTTACATTTTTCTGTTTCTCATTCTCAATGCCTAACCCAAGACACCCCAAAGCTAACTGAATTGTCCTCTCTGAAAAAAGCTTCCCTTAGCAAATAAAGCCAACAACGCCTTTGGTTTTCACGCCCAAGAACTGTTATATAGACAAGCACCTCCTTAATGGATGGCTCGGTGCCCACGTGGTCCATGAGCTTGTAGGTGGCAGCCAAAAACAATGCCGTTGTTTCCAGTCCCTCTTCAAACTGAAGATACACACCTCCCAGTTCATCCAGGCGAGCAACAAGGTCCTGTCACAACAAAACAGAGGCAGAATGGAAGTCAAGTGATAACAGAGATGAGACGTACAAACCACTGTTACCCCAGTGCAGAGTTTTGAGAAATCTCACTCTAAGTCTGCAGACCACCTCAGTCACTTAGTGCTTTCTCAAAAAAGGTGCTTAGGCAGAGAGTAACGTATATCATATAGGCATTTGAAGAGAACAGTATCTTCTGCAGCTCTCGGAGTGCTCCTTCCCTGACCTCTTCGACTCAAGCCCAAGCCCAGGAGTCATGGCACTGAAGGCACCAACTGCTCTGGGCAGGCCAGTGGGCCCAGCCACAGTTCACCCTGGAAGCATCGTGACACAGATGGATTCGATGGCCATCCATTTGGAAACAACCTCCAGAGCAGAGCATTTCTCTTTCTTATTCAATGCTCTAAAGGATGAAGAGAGACATACTGCTCTCCTGGGCAACGTGACGAGGCAGCTAATGTGCCTGTGGGGCATCCAGCTATGACACTGTCAGAGTGCCCGTCATCCCCGGCTCTGCGGTCCATGGAAGCAGTCTCTGAGCAGCAGGAGGTCGTGGGCAGTGGAAAGGGTAGTGGAATAACAAAAACCACAGTGACCACTTGCTGAGCACCAATTCTGTACTAGGCACTTTAGAACTTCGCTTGTTCCTAACCACCACCACATAAGGAAACTGAGGCTCAGACATTAATAATTTGCCTGAGATTACAAAGTAATAAGAAGTAGAAAAAAATTTGAAGTTCAGGTTTGTTAGGCTCTAAAATCTGTAGACTATGAGACTGTACCTACAAAACACTGAAGTAGTTTGTTGCTAACTGATGGTGTAACTATACGAGCCTAACAAATATTCCCTAGGAAATATTGCTCTGATACAAAGAACAAAAGTGTGCCACGGATATGAAAAGAAAGGTAACTGGCCACAACAAATCATTCATGTCTATCTGCAAGACTCTTCTAAAGGGTTTCAAAGACAGAAGCTGGGAAATTCACTTGCCAAAATAAATTTGTACCTCAATCTCCTCCACAATGCTTCTCAGGTCAGCCTGCTGGGACAGGTAGGATGCCGTCTGTAGAGCCTGGACTGTTCTGAAAGGTAGAGAATAGAACCCCAATGAATGGCAAGCCTCCATTTCCCCTTCCTGTATTGGTATACCTACACATATATCCCGCTCTTGTTCTTTAGAATTATAAGACAGCCTCGGCCCCAAAGGAGCTTGTTTACAGTCTAGGGAAAGATGTAACAAAGATCATTACATTACAGGGAATTCCCTGGTGGTCCAGTGGTTAGGACTCTGCACTCTCATTGCCAGGGCCCCAGGTTCGATCCCTGGTCGGGCAGCTAACATTTTATAAGCCACGTGATGCAGTGCCCACCCCATTCCCCACCAAAAAAAAGACCATTACATTACAAAGTTCACTACAGCTAGAGAGAAGGCAATCTGGGCAGCAGGATCCACATAAGTACTGAGGGCAGAGAGAAGAGAGGGTGCACCAGGTCACCCCCCTCTGAAAATCTGTTTGGTTCCTAATGGCATCACATATAGAACACCAGACTAAGACTTAATCAGATTTAGAAGAGATATACTTAGAGGGAGAAGAGGAGCCAATTCATCGAATGAAGGTATATTTGGCATCCCCATGTTGTAAGAGGAACTGTGCTGGGCAGAGGTTGGCTGCCTCTTTTCTACTTTTCCTACTCCAAAACCAAAGAAGTACTGTGGAATCTACATACGTAGGTTGTTGGGTAGAATTTGGAGCAACTTTTCTGAAACCAGATTAATGCAATATAAACAGGAAGCATTCGGTAAACACTCAGCTAACGCTTGTGCTGTCACCATCCTGCTCGGAGACCTGAAAGCCACCCGTCCTTTAGGCATTAAATAAGATGAAAGAAATAGAAGATCTGGTTCTCAAACCAGCGTCTATTCTTTTTTTCTTTTCCTACTATTTACTCCTGATTATAAAAGTACCTATTTGTCAAAACTTCAAATACATTACTAAAGGAGAAAGTTAAAATTCCTGTAATGCCTACCCCTAAAAGATAACTGTCCTGCAATTTATTTAGATTGTACAGATCTTTCCGTGAGGACATATAAATATATTTCATCCTTATTAACAACGACATAGCATTGCATTGCTTAGATGAACTGTAACTGTTCAATGCTGTAACTGTGAACCCTTATTCATGGCTGTATGTGCATATACACCTTTTAATTTATTGAATTCACATAAAGTTAGCCATTTGAAAGTGAACAATTCAGTGGCGTTTAGTATATTTCACAACGCTGTGCAATCACCACCTCTATCTAGTCCTAAAGCATTTCCATCAGTCCAAAATAAAACCCCATACCCATTAAACAGCTTCATTCCATTTCCCATCCCCTGCCCCGTCCCCTCCCCGCCAGCCCCTGGCAACCTGTGTTCTGTCTCTATGGATTTACCTATTCTGGATATTTCATATCAATGGAATCATACAAATGTGACCCTTTGTGTCTAGCTTCTTTCACTTAGCGTAACATTTTCAAGGCTCGCCATTCTGTAACATGTATCAGTACCTCATTCTTTTTTATGGTTTATTCATATATTTTTATCCACTTATGAGTGTATTTCTGTAAGATAAACTTTTTAAGGCGGAATGTAGTAAGTATGTCCACATAAGATTTTTTATTACGTTCTATTCTCTTAATGTGGATAACTTGAAAAATACAAATGGTGCTTCTCGGGGTGGAAAAGAGAAAGCTGAGGACCCCTGGTGGTTAAGCCAACTGCTGGTCCACCCCAGAAAGGTTCCCAAATTCCCAAGGGATGACCGGGCCTTAGTGTAAAACCACCATTTATCAAGTCAGTGTGTTGGGGAATGTAGAGCGAGAATCTGTCCGCTTTCATCCCAATCGTAACAATTTAGATTCCCTCCATGGAAAACGAATTCCATTAAGATGGTAAGCTGGAAAACAGAAGAGTCACAATTCACAGAGAGGGAAGCCCCAGAGTGTTCAATGACCCCTCTGGGATGCTTGTTGTTAGAACAGACTTGAGAAAATGAAACCTGAATTTCCAAACAAGATAAAAATCCCACATCTGCCCGTGATAAATGCTGAGCCCAGAAAAGGCTGCTAGGAGAGCCTAGAAAGAACTTTTCAATTAAGATATCATTTTTCTCTTCTTTGGAACGAATAAGCGTCATGCTGGTAACAACCTCAGAAGTTTTTAGAATGAAATTAATCCACTTAGCTTTTGAAAAGTTTTGTCATTGGCTTTAATTACTTATACTCCAGCAATTTCTCTCCCTCTGGAGCACTATATTCAAACGCTAAGAAAGCAGATCCTGTCTTGCTAATAAACAGCAGATGATTCAAAGAAATTGGGTTATGAGAGACCACAATAGCATCTTTTCAAATTATTCATTCAAAGCTACTAATGTTTTTTACCATTCTAGACAAGTTTATGAACGTTCGTTTCCTAGAATAAGTCCAGTTAAATGTAGAAGGCCCATTTAGAAGAGTCCTAATCTATATCAGATTTGCTTAAATAGGGTAAATTAGTAGTAATATTATATAAGGCATGCTGCCAGTTTGATCTTCACAATAACCCTATGAGACAGATATCATACTCCCTGTTTTACATATGGAAACACTGAGGTTTAGGGAGGTTAAACACCCTGCTCATGGCCACAGAGGTATTAAGTAGAAGAGTCTGGACACAGTTCTCTCTCACCCCAAGCGTGTGGTCTTTCTACCTGAAGCTTTTTGCAAGAGGATAGAATAGAAACACAAAAGTATAGTTTCATCCTTCATTAACTCTTTCTTGGGCATCTGCCATGTGCCAGGCTCTCTGAGCACTATAAGTAAAGAAGCTTAAAATCTAATACAGAAAAAACAATACAACCAAGGAAGTAACCAGCTCCCTAAGAAAGGGACCTAAGAAGGAAATGCTCTAGAGAGCACAAACTCCATTTGTCCCATGCCCATTAAGACCAGGCACTGCACTAGGCTCATCACATGTATTATCTTACTTAATCTTGACATTTGTTCTGTGATGTAAGGATTGTTGGTAATATTTTACAGATGAGGCTCAGAGAGGTTACTAACTTGCCTAAAGTCACACAGCAAGGAAGAAACAAAGCTGGTGTTCAAACCCAAGTCTAACTGACTCCAAAATGGATGTACTTTCTTTGTACTTCTTTCTCTTCTGGGGTTTAGAGGAGGGAGATTTTCCTTTTTGCTCAGAGGGAAAGGGAAAGATTTTTCTGTAGAAGGTGGCATCAGAGTAAGGCACTGACAGTTATCTCATGACAGGAGATATGGTGGTGATTGCAGAGGCATTCCACAAGGGATTATGGGACGAGATCAAAGTAATGTAACCTGAAACAGGAGGACCACAAGGGCCAAGCATTGGGCAAAGGGTGCGGAAAATGTCATTCCTGAGAAACGTACCAGCCCCAAAGTCACTGATTACTGACCATGTGAATATGAATAGGGCGTGAGAGTGACAGGGAGAACGTCAACTGACTGTGAGCCCTGCCCTTAACAAAGCTTCAAGTTTAGAAACATTTTGGTTCTCAGCACAAAAAAAAAAAAAAAAAAACCCTGGGAAACAACTGGACTATTCTGCAGTAGGGAACTGGTGTCACTAACATCTTGCTGAACAATGAATAGGAGTCCAGGTGCTCCAATCTGTCTCAGGGTTGCAATTAAATGGGGGACACATAGAAAACGAAAAATACATATACTGTGTTAAATGAGGAGTTTCAGTGTCAAAGGGGAAAAAAAAAACTACATATACTATTACTTTTAACTTTAGTAAACATCCTTGAGTCAGTTGCAACATTTAAACGTACAGTTCCTTCCTATAAGGTGCTTCTCCTTCGCCTGAGCCTTTTGCAGAGGAGCAGGGTCTGATCCCTAGAGTACTCCCCCCTCTGAGGCCCTACTTCCCCCACCTCTCCAAGGGACCCCGTGAGCCCTCCTCCAGGGCGGAGCCTCCAATGCCAACATCTCACCATGGCCTGGCCAAGCTGCAGTAAGAGATGCACATGGCTCTCTGGCCCCACTCTCCCTCAGTCACCCCTACCCTTGCTTCAGCCCCTAACCTCAAAGGCAGTCGTGTCTCTGTGGCAGTGTGTTTATGCTCGGACTCAGTATCTGCCTCTGCTGGAGCAGCTTGAGGGAGACCGTGTCTTGGTGAGCTGCACGAGGACACGGACCTTACCTGCCTTAGCACAATATGACATCTGCAGTGCCAGCAGAGCACCTGGCACATAGCAGGTGCCCAGACAATACTTGTGGAACCAGTGGATGAAGCCTCTCAGGATAGTAGCCTGAGAAGCGCTCAAGATGGTGACTTACGCGAGCACAGTCTCCTCCTTGCTGAGGCGAGAGGTAAGGGCACCGAGCACTTCTTGGGAAGCCAGAGGAAGGCCAAAGCCACTTAGGGCTGCAACTGCGTGGTAGATCTGGGCCACGGAGGAGTCTTCACTGACAGCTGCCAGAAGCAGATCTTTGGTCTCATTTGAAATAGAGATCTAAGAAAGGATGGGTAGACACAGAGTTTAGAACAGGTGCTGCCAGCCTGTGGTAGGCACGCCAAAGATGGCAGGCAGAGCAACTGCCGAGGTCACACCACCCGCCTGGGCTGTGATCACCCCTCTTCGACATCTCAGATGCCAGAATTAAATATCTGTAAAACCTCAGCATAACACTTTTGAAAAGATTCTGGCAAGTCACTTGTCTACTGATATGGCTCTTCTCCTGTGTTCAAAAAAATGGATTTCTAGAAATCTGGCGTGGGGGCATTCTTCTTTTGCTTTAAACATTTTTAAATGTTAAAGGGAGACTGAAAGAAAAAAAATAAGACTTCCCAGAAGAGAGGCAACTATAGGAAAAAGTTATTTAAAATTCATGAAAAGTGAAAACTTGGGAAAAATAAAAAGTCTATTTCTTTAAGAAAAAAAAAATCACAAGAATGGAATTCCCACCCACACTTAATGGGGTCTCACTGCTAAAAAAAAAAAATATTCTGACATGACTTTCCCTTTTTAAAAATACACTTTACAGTTTAAAGTAAATGTAAATGTAAGAAGCTGGACTCACCTCACACCCTGAGAGGGCCTGGCTGGACTGGGCAGCATAGAAAAGGGAATCCACGTTGCTTGGATCAAGGTTTGATTTAATGAAGGTGCATGCTTGCTAAACGGAGGGAAAGTCAATGATAAGTGGTGAAATACACAGTGATTAGGAAAACTGTATGTGTTTTTTGGATGACAAATATAATTCTCAGCAATCCATGATGGCTTAAAGTATGAGAGCTACACAAGATTTCATTTTTCAAGCAGATATTTTCCACAGAACACTGTATTATCCCAAAATGCTAACTTCATAGAAAGAGCAAACCTGAAGGCACTCTCGTCCTTCTGAACCTAGCAAGGAACCACTTCCACTGATCACCTGCTCTGGCCATAACCTGTGTGGGGTGTTTATGATGCTCTTCCTTTTAATGAACATAAGGACCCTGTGGCAGATACTATCATCCCCATTTAACAGAATAAGAAACTGATGCTTGGAGTTGGTAAGTAATGTAATGAAGGTGACAAAGCTAATAAATGGCAGTGTCTCCACTTCGATGTCTCCAAAGCTAAGTCAGGTTCAACACATCTAACATAAGCTAGAAACCTTCTATTTCTTCATCTGGACGTTCTGGCTCATGTACGGGCATCACCATGCACCTACTACCTAAATCAGAAACCTAGGACTCATTCTCGACTTTTCCCTCACCCTCCAAGCCTATCGAGTCTCTCAAACCCGATCCCCACTCTCTGGCTTCCCTTCTTGCCTTATGTCACGCCCCTGCCGTTTCTCATGGAGACTGTTACACTCATCTCCTAACTGGTCTCAAGTCATGCAATCCATTCTGCATACTGCTTCAAGAGTGATCTTTACAAGGTGCAAAAGTGTAATAGGGAAGAACCTTTTGTATCCTATTACAAGTTAATCACTAAAGGGATGCTGACTATAAGCTTAAATTATACATGATGATGCAACTCTGGGAATGACCTCCCAGGTTATGAGCATTAAGCTAAAATATCTTTGTTTAGCTCACAGGAAACATCCCGACCAGGCCCACCTGTGAATGACTGCAGGGAGGAAGAAATTAACACAACCCCTCTGGAGGCTGATGGGAACCGGGAAGTGTTTGACTTTATTCCCACCCCTTTTACTATAAAAGGAGCCTGAATTCTAACTCACGCAAGATGGATCTTTGGGGCATGAGCCCATCTTCTCGGTCTGCTGGCTTTCTGAACAAAGTCTTTATTCCTTGCCCCAATACCTCATCTCTCGATTATTGGCTTGTCATGCGGCCAGCAGCACAAGCTTTGTCTTGGTGACAAGTGTATCTACCTTACTCTGCTATTAAAACCCTTGGGTGGTTCCTTATCCTTCTCAGAACAAGACTCAAAGTTTCTGATCTGGCATAAAATGCCCTCATGACTGGGACTTTCCTGGTGGCACAGTGGTTGAGAATCCGCTTGCCAATGCAGGGGACACAGGTTCGAGCCCTGGTTCAGGAAGATCCCACGTGACGCAGAGCAACTAAGCCCAGACGCCACAACTACTGAGCCTGCACACCACAACTGCTGAAGCCCACGTGCCTAGAGCCCATGCTCTGCAACAAGAGAAGCCACTGCAATGAGAAGCCCGTGCACCACAATGAAGAGCAGCCCCTGCTCGCCGCAACTAGAGAAAAGCCCGCATGCAGCAGTGAAGACCCAACACAGCCAAAAATAAATAAATAAATAAATAAATAAATAAATATATATATATATATATATATATTTTAAAAAATGCCCTCATGACTGACCCTCACTCTCTGTGCCAGCTTCCTCACCACAGCCCCACCTCCAACTCCAAAATCTTACCCTCCACCCCACTGCAGCTTCCCAGACATAACATGCTCTCACCATTTATGTTCCTGACCCTGCTACCCCCCACCCCGTGCCAGGAGCACCTTTCCCTTGTCCTTCTTGCCTGCCAAACCAGGTCCCATCTTCACCTCTGCTCAGATGTCACCTTTTCCAGAGAACCTTCCCTGACATTCATCCAGGACAGGCCAGGTGCCTTCCCTCCCGAGCACTCCCCCAAAGCACTTACCACACTGTACTAACTACCTCCCCCCGCAGGGACTAGTTACTTGAGAGCAGAGACTTTGAAAAATTCCCACCACAGTGCCTGGCACAGAGTAGGCACATAAGAAAACCCATGCTATTCCTACTATATTAAGAAATAACATTTAATAGCTAGTTATAGCACTAAATACTTTGGTTGAGGTAATATAAAATTCAGCTATTCAAAATTAAATGGTAATAAAAACAGTTAAAAGTGGATGCTTCCCAGGAGTAGGACAGGTGGGCCTCAGGATGGATGGTTGCTTTTCACTAATAGCTGTTCTGTATTATCTGGTATTTTACTGTATGCATGCGCTACTTCAACCAAAAAATTTTTGTTTTAAATTTTATGAATAACACTTAAATAAGAGTCTCAAACAAATGAGTTTCAACCAGAAGTCTGAAAGAATCCAAAAAGAAAAAGAAAAGAAACAAAATACTTCATACTGCACAAATTAGGGATCTGAAGAAAACAACCTATTCAAGGAATCCTTTCAGCAGAATGTGGGCAAGCTTAAGACGTGTGCTTTGTCGCCATCTGGTGCTTTAGCAATAGAACAACACCCAAGGCCCCAAACAATGATTATGGTCATTGTCACCAATTTTTGAGCACTTAAAATGTGTCAAGCACTGTTGACAAGTGCTGTATACGCATTTCTTATTTAATAGGGGGATCTATGCATTACGTCCTCCTATTACCTTAAGTTTACAGACAAGAAAACTGGGGCATTAGAGAGGAAACTGACTTGCCCAAGGTCACTCAGCTCTTAATGGAGGAGCTGGAATTCAGACCCAGGCAGCCTGGCTCCAGAGTCTGAGCTATACAACCTGTCTCTCTCTCTCAAGGGACTATTAAAAACGACCTGTTCCTGAATAAAACCAGCATCATGCCTACTCGTTTGCACAGACAGATCTAGGTAAACAGTACCAAGGGTCTGTGGCTTCAAAGCTCAAAATGTTGACAGCTTAGTTTTAATAGTGGCAAAAATGAGGGACCTCACAAAACATACTCTGGACCCTCAGGAAGCCCACCCAGATCTGAGGCTTCAGCTGGCCACTTGCAGGGGATCTGTAACTCCAACTCCTGCTGCCCTAGTTCCACACTCACCCTCACAAGTGAAGGCTGAAAATGGCCTCCTAAACGTCCATCCCCTATCTGTTCCCCTCCAACTTTCTGTGCCCAGCTACCTAAATATCCTCCTGAGTGAAGGACATGAGTGCTTTTCTCAGTCCATTCTTCCCTACAACTCCCCAGCCTGAATCAGCAACCAAGAAGACAGTAAATCTCTCTCTCATCTGCCCTTTCCTCTCCAGCAGCAGCCCCCAACTCCCGTCTCCTCTCAGCCTAGGCTTTGCAATCTTGCCAGACTCTGTGTCAGGCTACTGCGGCACACGCTGGCGACAGCCTCCATCCACACCAGGTCTTGGTAGCTGGGCCGGCTTTTTCCACATGCTCTCTGACCACCCCTCTGCTCCAGCCAACTCACAGTCCCCACAACACAACAAGCACTTCTAAGCCTCTAGGCTTAGTACGGGCTGTTCTCTCCATCAGGAAGCCCATCCATCTCGTCAGTTCAGCTTCTCCCTCTCGACTGGTAACTCCTAATGTATCAACAAAACTTAAGACTGATTTGAAAGTAAAACTTACCTTGATCCTTCTCTCCCCTCCAGCTGCTACCTTCTCTCTCTTCCCACCAATGACCTCCAAATTATGGAAGCCAAAGGACATCTTCCAATGCTCATGCCCTTAACACTAGATAGAACCTTCCTTGTTCTAAAACATTCCCTTCCCTTCGCTTCCGGGATTCCCCTGCCCTCCCCTGGCTCTCTTCCTCCTTCTCAGCTGCTCCTCAAGTTTCATCCTCTTCTGCCTGACCATTTAACACTGGAGTTTTTCAACTCCTAGGCCCACTTCTCATCCATCCCCTCTCTTCCTAGGCGATCTCAATCATGCCCATGGCTTCATCCAGAACCGCTATGCAGATAATTCTCAGATTTGTACCCCCAGCCCAGACTTCTCTCAAAGGCCACTTACATGATTCAAAGGCATTTTAAGCTCAACATCTTTAAGACCGAATTTATGATCTTTCCTGCGCAAACCTAATTCTCTTCCTGTATTCCTATCCTAAGGAATCCCAACCATCCATCCATGTGGCAAAAGTCAGAAGTCCAGGTGTTATCTTTTGTACCCCACCAGCATTCAATCTTGTGCCATATTCCCCTGCGAAAGTCTGTCCTCCACAAGGCAGGACAGAAATCTTTCCAAAATGAAAACTAGATCCTGATACTTTCTGCTTAAAATCAACTTCTCTTTAGAGAAAAAGCAAAATCTTCCCTCTGACTACCAAGGCACGGAGGCTTAGCCCCGGCCTTCCTCTCTAGCTGTCTCGCATTCTCTGTTCTTACACAGCCTCCTTGCAGTCTCTCAAATGTAATCTGCTCCCTAACTGCACAGGTCCTTTGCACGTGCTACTTCCTCTGGCTAAAGTCTCTTCCCTCCCCATCTCCTGGTTAAATCCTACTTTCCTTTTAGAATTCAGACCCATCATACCTTCCTTCATTTAATAAACAGCTATTGAGTACTACCACCTGCCAGGTGCTCTCTAGATACTGGAAATACACAACAAATAAAATCAACAAAGTTCCTGCCCTCAAGGAGTTGTAATTTAGGGGTATATAGAGTGAGATTTAAGTTCAGAGATTTCTTTAGAAGTGCCTTCCCTGACCAGGTCAAAGTCCCCTATTTCACACCTATAACACCATACATCTCACCTTCATAAACCTTACCATTGTTATAAATATTCATGTATATATTTATTACACGACTAATGCTTGTCTCCACTATTAGAGTATACATTCCAAAAGGCAGACGCTCTCTTTGTTGTTCAATACTGAATCCCCGGTGCCCAGCATCATGCTCAGCACACAGCAGAAACTCACTAGACATCTGATGAATGACTAAAGGAATCCTGTAGCAGCCAGCGCAGATGGTAACTCCCCCTGTACAAGGTTGGAACTAAGAGTAAG